GGGGGGGGGGGGGGCCACGCGTCTGGTTTACTGCTGAAGGTGAGGACACACAGCCACACACATACCACACACAGATCTGTGCCCAATAGATCTACAGGCAGATGGACCACACAGATGTGTATGTGCTTTCAGGTTCCTCGAGATCTCTCCGCTGACTGCCCTTGGATACACACAGACACATGGGAGGTACGTCAGCCTCGCAGCACGCTACGGCACGACACACACAGCAGCACTGACTGAACATGTATGTGGTTTGCCAGGCTGTTTCTCCCGTCGAGCTGTCACCCGACGGCTCGTCCACGGCATCCATCAAGGATGGCAGCCTCACGCTAGATCGGGCTACGCAACTGATTGATACGGGAGCTGACGACACCAGCGGCCTATTTCGCGCTATCGCACTTGCCCTTACCCAAGGCCGCTATGACGTCGCCCACATGCTGCTGGATGACCCCAATCTCGACATCAAGGCTGCGCATCACCTGCTGTGGCGCGTGGCAGACGACGCACGTGACGGCAGTGTGTCGTCAGCCGAGAAGCTTGGGATGGCCAAGAGGCTGAGAGCGCTCGGGGCGGCAGACCAAAATCCATATGTCCCCATCTGGCAGTTCTGCAGTCGTCCCCTCGCCCACCCGTCCCACCATCTGGAGCTCATTGCCTACCTTTTCCACAAGGCCGGAGGAATTGGGCCCTTCTCTATTATGCGGCTCGATCTCGGTGCTCGGATGGCGTCCTGTGGCTGCTCATGCGCAACGGGGCGGCCGTCAACGAGAATCAGGGTGGCCACCCCTAGAAGTGCTGCGGGCGGCATACCGTGAGTATCTGCAGCATGACCTGCCGATGCAGGTCAGCATCGCCGTCAAGACCGCCCTCCTGCCCGCACAAGCGCTAAAGACCACGGCACTGCCGGATGGCGTCATCGAGAGCATCGAGGCGCTCATTGGCGTGGGTAGCCCGCCCACTGCCTGCATTCCCATTGGCGAGCAGCCCTTCGGCAATCGCATCAATGAGCTGGTCAACGGCTACCTCTCTGCGGCTTACAAGTGCATTCGGCAGGCCAGCAGCAGCAGCAGCCGGGAGGGCATGTGTTGGGGGCCTGGCGATGTGCTGCAGGAAGTAATGGACGCCGCCAAGGAGGAGGGGCGACGGTTCGGCATCGAATGACTGAATGAATCGTGCCGAAGTGACAAGTGAGCAGCGGAGAGCATTCACGTGTGCATCTGTGGTGTCTCCCCGACGTCAGGGTGTTTGTATGGCTCCGAGATTTCCATGTGATGCTGGTTGGGTGAGAGGCCTGTTTGTTGGCCGGCCGACAGACAGACAGACAGACAGCGATTCTTTGTCAATGTGTCCACTCATGTGTCGTTCTGCGTGGCGTATAGTATGGATGGCTCACGACTGACTGAGCGGTGTGGTCCCTTGTGTACGTTTGCGGGGGGCGATGGTGCTGCCTGGGGGGTGCGAGTGTGTGTGTGTGTGGCATTTTGGATGCGAGTGACGTCACCGCGGCATGATGGTCCGTCATGCCATGACGTGTACGCCGTTGTTTCCCTGACCTCATCGGCTCAATCGTTTCTCTGTCACGTGTTGTGATATGCGAGTGGCTTTTATGTAGATGAGTCGATCACGACTCTTTGGTGGCTGGCCGGTGTGTGAGTGTGGTGGACATTGCCCATGCTGACGTCAGTGAGTCAGGATGGTCCGTAGTTGGTCGAACCAGTATGCAAATCGATGGATGGATGGATGACGTGCCCTTCCTTGCTTGTAGAGGTATGTGGTAGAGCAAAGAGGCAGGCAGAGGCTTAATTGACGTGTGCGTACTGCGAGGGTCGGATGCATCGACACCGCGGGGAACCGACAGATCAAATCATCGCATGGCGTGGCCGGATGTGTGGATGTTGCTGCATGACTTTATCCATCAACGAAGAAGATGTTCGTGTCGGTCATTGTTTGGTCAGCAGATCAGCATCGTCAGTGGACCTTACTGCTGTTTCTCCCACCCCACCGCCACGAGGGCCTTCCCCCTCTCAGCCTTCGCGCAGCGCACAGCAAAGCCGGGAGTGTCTCTCCCTTTGTCAGTTAGATGTCGCGTGGCGCCTGTCGACAACACACACGTCAGAAAGAGGTGTGGCGTCCACCTGCGCACACCGATTGTCGGCACCGTGGAAGAGCGAGCAACGCCGAGAAGCAAATTTCCATTTTGGCGAGAATTTGAGACGGAGACGGCTTTCGCGAAAATGGCGTTCTCTCTGTTCTTCGCTTCGGCCGAGTCAGCACACAGCAGAACGCACTCTCAAGCTCTCTGCTGGTTGCTTCTTTTGGGCTTCGCAAAGTCACTGTCACATCGCTTCCCCCGCATCGAGTTGTCCCTGCCTGTGCCGAGATGGCTCACCCGCCGCAAGTTCCAGGCTTCATCAACAGGAACTTCGATGAGATTCGATATTTGGGAGAGGGCGGGTTCGGGGTGGCATGGCAGGCGCATGCCAGGGAACCAGGGGACGCAGTAGAACTCGATGAAGACATCGACATCCACATCGACGACGAACACCGAGGACCCGAGGCCGAGCTGGTCGTCAAGATGGTAAGCATGCAGTCCATGGGCACAGAGAGCGGGGCATTAGTTGGTGCGTTGTGTATGTCTCACACATACACATACATGGCTCATTTCCTCTGGTGTGTGGCCGGGTGTGTTGTGCTTGCGTTCCTGCAGAATAAGCTCGGCCAGGGGCTCCTCGACGCGCTCCAGCGTAAGCGAAGTCAACATGGAAACATGCACGTATCTGCTGCTGAATGTGATCCTTCTTCATTCAGGCGAGCATACCTTCATGGACTCCGAGATGTTCCCCGACATCAAAGATTGTCCCAATGTGATGTCGTCCCTGGCCTTCAAGAGCTACCCCGAGGAGGGCAGGGGCTACCTGATCATGGAGTACGGCGGCCCCACGCTCTCCAGGAAGCTGTGGGACCACGCGCAGGACGGACTGCCGCGGGAGGAGGTCAAGGAGATCAGCCAGCAGCTCGTCAACGCACACAGGGCGCAGGGCAGGACCACTGGCCCAGGGAGGTGAGGAGAGCCGCCACATCAGATAGAGGAGAGAGGGAAAAAGGGAGAATCACTCCTTGACCTTCTCACGTGTGTGTGTGTGTATGTATGTATGTATGTGTGTGTGATGGATACAGTGATGTATCGCGACCACAAGCTGGATAATGTGGTGGTGGATGACAATGGGCTGGTGCGCCTCATCGACCTGGGGTGCTGCAAGGTGGTGGGAGAACCGTGGAAGCTCGAAGACCTGGAAGCGTGGGTCCAGGGATTCCGGCCGACGGAGGTGCTGTTGAGGTTCGAGCCCCCTCAGCTCGAGTACGGCGTCAAGGCCGACATCAGCGCCCTGGGCCAGCTGTTGTTTCGGACCGCATACGGCCGCTCGCCGTTTCAGAGGGTGGTCAACGGGGAGGCGGTGGACGTGGCCGACGACGCTGAGGCCTTGCGGGAGATGATAGAGGTGTATGGCCCGCCCACACCGCACGGAGGGATGTGGCCCGCGGGCGCACTCCATCAGGCGGAAGAGGTCCTGCCGGGGCAGGTCGGTGGCCAGGTCAAGACGGAGCAGGAGGTCAAGGCCGAGCTGGCGGCGCGCATGACGGCGCTGCGACCGCAGCTCAACATCACGCCGGAGGAGCTTGACTTCTTCTACAAGTACGCAGACACCACACACACACTCCAATGGCATCTCATGCAGACACCACACACACACGCCAATGGCATCTCATGCAGACATCATGAAGTCACTCCCCTTCTTTCTGTCCGCTGATGTGTGTCCATTTCAGTGCATTGCACCCCAACC